CGTATATTTCTCACAATTTAGGCAAGTACCTAAAGTACTTTTATATATTTTACGGCACGACGATCATAGTATTATACTAGTATCATCTTACCCGAATACTATGTTTACATCTATGTTTACACTATTACATTTTTAAATTCATTTTTGTATGTTTTGAAAATTGAAAATATCTTAGTGTAAATATAACCGAAAACTGGAACTATCAGTGATCCGAACATTATTAAGCGTCAATTAACGTAATTAGGTATATAAAATAAATATGTGCAGTCGTTCAGGTTACGTATACCTATAAAGAAACTAAATAATACGTCATCATTTTATTTCTCGTACATATTAGTTGTCCTGCGTTCATACTAAAGGAATAATATTATATCGTTATAATAATATTACCTATATGTATTTAATTTTTCTTATAATTAACTTTTAAACAAAACGTCTCTACCTATATGAAAAAGGGGTGTTTAAGTATTTACAAGGTTGAAGGGCAAGTTCAATGGACCGGCTTAAGTGAATAATAATTATTATAGTTAAAATACCGATCATCATTTTATGTGTATTAGATATTCAAAACCATTCATAAACGAAAGCCAGTTTGGATATGATTACAAGAAATAAGACGTGAGTACCTAACAAATAAATTGATTTTAAATATGAATATTAAATGTACAATCTTATGAAACCCAATTTTTTTATTTTGAAAACTAATAAATAAACCAATTACGGTGATTTTTCGTGTTCGACGCCTTTGATTAACATATGCACCACATGAAGGTTTAAACATGTTTAAACATGATTGTCAATTGATATAGTAAAGCGATAGGACATCTTACAAAAAGGTTTGAATTTGTTGTCAACTGAGATTGATTCTACTGAATTTTCGATTTTAACCTAAATTAGTACCTATATGAAATGTAGAAATAAATATTACCATACCTCAATATCTGGAGAAGTTAAGATGAAAAATGTTTAAAGTTTATCTCAAGAAGAGCTTACAACAATTCAAACCCTGTTTTCATAATTTTTATCGCTTCACTATAGATCAATAGATTGGTACTTTGGATTGATAACACTTCTACACGTTTCTATATTGAGCTTGTGTTGAATGAAGGCGGAAGATCACCACTTTCGATCCCCTTTAATGGCTTGTATATTATATTAAAACACTTTTTAAACTACATTTTCTATTTTATTAAAGTATTTTAAATTAAAAACAACGTTTATACACACTGTCATTAAATATTAGTCTCAAAACAAAATGACATACATTTTATAAAATATTCTAGGATCCTTGCGAAACTATAATGAGTCATACTGACAATAGTAAGTGTAGGTAAATTTAATGATATTAAAATAATAAATAACTATTTATTTAATGATTAAACTTTGTATAATTGTCGTATTAATCGAAGATTGTATTTATAAAAATAAAAGTGTTTTCTAGGGAAAAATCATTATGAACTAATTACCGATGAACACTTATTCGATAAGTGTCTTGTAGCTGGTGCTTATAGTATCACTTGCATACTGCTGCAGATACATACGAAATGCCTATTACCATTCAATAAGTATAGATGTCATTGTTACGTATTACTTAAAGAAATATAGATATAGAAATTGGCTACAAAAAGTATTTGTATACAAATATATTTAAATATTTTTTAAATATGGAAGTTTTTTTAGTTTTGGTTAAATAAACAATACATATAGGGTATCCGAGTATTCCGGTGCATCTCAAATAGCTCCCACCGAAAAGGGTTTCACAAAACAGGTAAATTCCGATATGGCTCCCGTCGAAAAAGGTTTCACCCAAATGTACCCAATGTATGATTTTCATTCTTATATTTTATGTATTTGTCTATTTTTATGGTAATATTAAAAAAAAAAAAAACATCAATAAATTTTAATGTAGAAATTGTTTTTAAATTTTAAATTTACAACATACGATTTACGATTTTTACTATCATTAATAAATTCACTTAGAATATATAATTAAAAAAAATACCAACACATTTGTAATTAATTATCTTTTGAGACAGTCCTAAATCTGTTTGAAGTGGGAAAGAATTTGTGTTTGTAAAAACCGTAGCCGTTTGGGAATTTACTTTTTTGTAAAACGGAAACCGAATGGGGGCTATGTTCAATGTATTTATAAATCAGATAAACCAAAAAAACCATTAACATTCTCCTTATACGTGACCTTACACGTTGGTGCAAATGTAACAATAAATATAATATAATATGTATTATATTTTATTATTTTTTATTAATGTAACATACTAATATATAAATTAATGCATATACTTTAATCAATGTGTTGAAAGAAAAAAACATATAAATGGGTATTGACAAATAGTACGTATACACATAGGTGCCAATAATAATAAGTAAATTGTGTATGCATATTGTTTGTATATTGTGTTAAATTTGAATTTAATGATAAATCAACTCAGCCTAACTATTATAATATTATCATTTGATAAAATATTACTAGTTGTTGTTAATTTAATTTCTACGAGAGTAACTTATTCACATCCGATATTGCACTTATATTGTATCAATTGACTCAATGGCAGTTGTATATGAGATTCATTGAAAAATTAAAGTATAATCAAAGGACGCACGATTCCTTGCACTCAAGCGGCTGCAGTTTTTGACATAAAATTTAATTTATATTTTCCAATATTAAATTATATTGCATTTTATACTCACAGGTGAGGAAAACATTATAATAATTATTTTAGTGAATATTAAGCCGATTAAACGCAATCTAATGCACAATATATTATTGTCAAATATCATTACACTATAATACAATGATTTATTGCTATATTGTGCCATTAATCACATCATAAATGAGCAATAAAATACCTAGAAGTACATTTTTTTATGCTTGTTTGTTTATAGATAAAATCATATTTTAGTGAAGATTAACAAACAAATCAAGAAAAATGTCCAAGAAGGGTGTGTACAGGCAAATATATGTCACCATAGTCGGTAAGTTTCAATTGTAAATCATATTAGATTATTAGAATTTAATCCATTATATAAAAATATGTTATCCGATATAATAGTATTATACCATATTTGCAGCGTAATTCACGCAAATAATAATCTTTAGTTAGCAACAATTTTATTCAATTTTATGATTCTTATTGCGTGAACCTTTTCAATTATAAAGTAAATAATTGATTTCATTCGTAAAAAGTGGAAAAACAATTGGATAAACTCATTATCTCGAGGTTCGAACAAAACAGCCATGTGTTACTTATAAATTATAATATATTATAGTTGTCCTTGTACACTAATATATCCAAATTAGCCTACCAAAAATGCTTAAAAATTAACATAGGTACTACAAATTTGAACAACACTTGATAGAAATAAATAATAATAGGTATTTTTATTTATTATGTATGATCGAGCGTTTGCAGTGCTGCCTATAATAACGCTATATTTTTTAACCTGCAGACTATATCACAAGTTCAAGGAATTTTTAAATGATTATTTTTGTAACGTTCATAAGAACATATATTATGAATATTTAACTTCTTATTACCGATTATACAGAATTCTGTTATCAAAATTAAAAACTAGAAATTTGACAAATACTGCTAAATTATAAAAGTTGGATCAGTTAGATACACAATCACAACACAGCAGTTGGTTCACAATACAAATATAAGCACGCAGTAGATGCTACCTATCTATAGGTACCTGACTTTTAAAGTTATAATACGATAACAACCATACTTATTAAACTTTACACTGTCTGATCCGTGGCAGTTGAAATATCTGTGAATTTACCCTGTAAATTTTGTTAAATGTAAACTGCAAAACAATTTTTACACATTAATTTGAGAGGTTTTGAGTTTTTGACCATATAAAAACACAGGTCTAAAATTACACCGAATTGTAATAACTATGGCCAACCCTGCAAACTTAATCAAACAAATTTTCAAAAAATTAAAAATTTGGCTTCAAGTTACACACGCACACACACACACATACACACACACACACACAAATATTGTCTAATAGATTATATTTTGATAACGATGATGATGACGATGTGACCTTTCCCACAGCGACCATGTCGATATTCATCAGCGGCATGTGGCTAGGGTGGCCAAGTTCGGTGGTGGAGAAGTTCGTCAAGCACGAGACGGACTTCAACGCGACCATGGACGAGTTGTCATGGATCGTGGCCACGATGGACCTGGGCAACGTGATCAGCCCGCTAGTGGCCGGTCACCTGATGGATTTTATGGGCCGGAAGCCCAGCACCGTGGTGCTAGGGCCGCTGTTCATCGTCTCGTGGGCGCTCACGCTGTTCATACCCACCACCTGGGCGCTGTACACCGCCCGTCTGCTGGCCGGCATGGGCAAGGGCATGTCGTACACGGTAGTGCCCGTGTACCTGGGTGAGATAGCGTCGCCTGCCATACGGGGGGCCTTGGGAAGCGTGTTCTGCCTTCAGCTGCACTTCGGCTTCTTGATGGAGGCCATAATCGGACCGCTGGTGTCGTACCGCACGCTGAACACCATCTCCGCCGTCGTGCCTTTCTTGTTTTTGGTCGCCGCCATCTGGATGCCCGAATCTCCATACTATCTGTTGAAGCGCGGCCGCCGGCCTCAGGCGGCCGTAAGCTTGCAGTGGTTCCGGGGTGGCGGTGACGTGGTCAACGAACTGGATCGGATGGAGGTGAACGTACGCAAGGAGATGGAGAACCGGTCCACGTTCCGTGAGCTGTTTGCCAGCCGGAAGGACATGCGGGCGCTGGCCATCGTGGTGGCCGCGTGTGCCACGCAGCGAGCGGGTGGCATCAGCTGCATAATGGCGTACTCGGCGCTCATACTGCCGGATAACGGGCCGCTGTTGAACAAACACGAGTCGGTCATGCTGTTCGCCGTCACGTTGGCCGTAGTCAACTTGGTGGCCGTCGCGCTGGTGGACAGGATAGGCCGGAAGCCACTCCTACTCTTCTCCGAGGGGGGCTTGGCCGTGACGACGCTATGGTTCGCCGTGTTCTTTTACTTTTCCCAGGGCGACGGCGGGGAATGGGTCAGTCGGGAGCTCGCTTGGCTCCCGTACCTCTGCCACTTTTCGTTCGCCGTCATGTTCGCGGTCGGCGTGGGGTTCGTGCCCGTCGTGTTCCTCGGCGAGTTGTTCCCGGTCAACATCCGGTCTCACTGTTCGGCCATCGCCTCCATCACGCTGGCATTCTGCTCGTTTGTCACCAACAAGATGTTCCTGTTCGTGTCCAACCGCTACGGGTTCTACGCCATGTTTTCGCTGTTCACCGTCGTCAATGTTGCCGGCACGTTATTCACTTACAAGTACGCCATCGAGACAAAGGGCAAGACGTTACAGGAGATCCAAGAGCAGCTGCAGGATATCGTTGGACCCCGTCGAGAGAAGACCGATCAAAACAATAGTTAAATTGTAGGTACTAAATAACAATTTGACCTAATAAATCTATTATTTAAAACTGTTAATAATACAATTTGATTTAGTTTTTAAAAAAAAATTATAGGTTATAACTATTTATAAAATAAACCAGCCTTGTTTTATTTCTTTTATATTTTAAACATATTTTAAAATCTCACTTCTAAGAGGACATAGTACCCGCATGTGTTGTCTCCGTACACCTAACTGTACGCACGTAGTCCCGGGTCTTACATACGTACGACATGGCAAATTTTAGTTCATAGGTTTCAATAGTGTGCTGTTAGTTTTGACTTTTGATATCACAGTGAATTGACCTATTATAAAGTGTAATGTTAAGATTATTGTCTAGGGCCCTGCGAAACTTTTAATTGATATTATTATTTTTAAGTAAGTTATGATTATTTTAAATGTACGGTTTCAAAAAGGTCAGAACTTTCTAATCATTAGTTTGAAATTTTGAATGATAAAAACAGGAGATGTCTCAGAACTGTGTAATATAAATTATTAAATGATAAATTACGATAAAATAAAGAAATTATTATGACCACCAATTCGTATTCTAGTCATCCTAGTGTTTATAGTCCCTTGTCCTCGTTAAACCTTTCAATCACCAAATAGATCAAATAAGTGTTGAGCTATAAATTAGGTACCTATAATTGTGAATATTTCGTGGTCGTTCCTATTGTATAATAATAACAATGAACAATTAATATTTGTTTGACTTCTGTGTTACATTTTTTTTATGTTCTTATTCCTCTCAGCATTTAAAAACCACATAAAAAAGTTTCATATAATGACGAAAACAAAACAATACATAGACATAACTGATAGCATATGCCAATCAAATTGTGTATCAGAAATCGACATTAAATAAAAATGTATTACTGGCTTATAATATTCATATAATATTATCGTGTTATTTTGAAAGTAGGTGATGTACTCAATAAATACTATATTATTTGCGTTTTATCAGTTGCGTTGTCTTCATCATATCACACATGATCTCTGACACATTTTCACAATCTCAAGTATGTAAACGTACATTGAAATAATTCACTATTATTAATAGTCAATGAATAATGTGTAGGTACAATTATTATTGTTATATTTGGTTAATGCCTCACGACGAAATCGATCGTGTGCGAAACATATATTATACTTATCTGAAACTATATTATAAAGTGAGTACTGACTACTGAGTAGGCAAGGTATCACCTACTGATACATTTTA